AATTGCGGGCACAAGTTAATTGATTGTGCCATCGATAACGTAATCGTCGTGCGTGCATCTTAAAATATCGTAAACAAATAAACGCGAGCGTTTGCATGTGACAGTGAAAGGGCAGATGTCTTCGTTTACTTCACTTTTCTTTTAATAGATCTAGAAATTTAGAACATACAGAAAAAGACATTACTATTACTTGAATATTTTTTTTTTTATAATTTATTAGCATATTTTTGTTAATTTACCAATATTTCTTTTACTATTCCAACTAAGCTCTATGCTTGTGTTACGACATGGTTTACGACAATAGTCGAATGGCGGAATTCGAACCCCCAACCTCGTGATCGGAAATCCGACCCATAACCATTAGGCTATATGCATTTACCAAACTCTATTGCGTTAATTTCAAAATGACAGCTATATAATACATATATCCTGAGTATATCTAACCTTTCAACTGTTATATATTAGATTAGCACCTGGAAATTTTATACCTTAATCTTTTCTATACTATTTAACATCAAGTCACTTTAAAAATATTTATTATACGTTTGGGTGTATTCTTAAATTATACGATATAACGAGGAGTAACTGTTCCGCGGCGATCAAGTCGCAGTTACGTCCAGCAAAAACTTTGCGCTGTCTCCGGTCACTTGACGTCATTAAAAATACATTAGTACAATATAAATTATTTTATTAAATGTCGATTCACACTTTTAACCCCTTTATCCCCGTAAAAACATATCCAATACGTGACCTTGTAAGTCTTTTGTACCGAGTAATGAATAACCGTAACATAGGTATTAAGACATTTTGTACTCTCTGGTTTTTAAAAAGAATGTGTGGGTGACATTTCGGCAATGGAATCAAAAGCATTCAAATAGTTTTCATTTGTTTTGTAAAGCAGATTTGCCGTAAAATATTCAGCTCTTACTTACACATTTGGCTTGATCATAACTTATGTATGATTTAACATAAAACCATGTTTTCACACGTCGACTTTATAGCATGCAATTAAAAGACTACCTCACAATGGCCACGAAGCGTTGTTACAACAGTGTGCATTCGCCATTAAACTCAGTCCAGCGGTTGCTTTACGAGGGTATAATTGTCGACAGCATCCTCGAACATTGTTTTGTTATCCTTGAACGCTTTTTACAAACCGATAACATGGTATTACAGAAGTGGTGAATGTTGACTGATTTTACTAGTGATATTTTAAATAACAAACAAAAAGGATATAGATACTAAATTGATTTTAATTAAACAGTATCTGGGAGTGAAGCAGTGCTCTAACCAAGGGCGCGATATAACTATTCATTTCAAAGCTACAAAGGGCTGTTTCGCGCTCTTATATTGCTTATGAAATCCAATATGTACATATGCATCTATCTAATATAATCTAAGATACTCAATATCTTATTAATCTATTAAAGTTAACTTAAAACTCTGAAGACCGTTATTCTCATATCTTTATACAGTACCATACCTTACTTCTTACTAATATTATAAATGCGAATGTTTAAATGGATGGATGTTTGTTTGAAGATATCTCCAGAACAACTGAACGGATCTCGATGAAATTTAGCATACCTATAAAACATAATCTGGAAGAACACATAGACTACTGTGTTTTTTTAATTCTGCGCGGACATAGTCGCGGTCGAAAATAGTGTTTGAATATTATGAACTTATTGAACAGTTGTAATTACCTCGTAATTTGCTTACAATCGAGGTTGATATCAGCCCCGAGGGCGTAACCGTACTCTACTTGTATAGTAACAGATCAATTCAGACATTCTAAGTAATTAACACCTAATTACAATCGGCTGCCTGCTGTTCCGGCTGATAATTACACAAGTAATTGCTTATATTTATAAATAGATATAATTGGCTTGTCATGTACTCGTAGTTACTATTGTAATAATATTTGAATTAAAGACGCTTCATTTAACACTTCATAATGTTTTAAAGCTTGTAATATAGACTAGCTGTCGCCCGCGATTCTGTCCACGCGGAAAAAAAGATAATCAATAGCTTATGCGTTCTTCCAGAGAATGTTCTGGAGATACCTTCAAGCAAACATCCATCCATCTAAACATTCGCATTAATATTAGTAAGATGGAGCAAACATATTCTAAAAATAAACATCGATAAGCAAATTTTATTTAAATTTTAATTTAACAAATTAAGCTTGATATAATATATATTTTTACTAATGTATAAATATTTAAACATAGTTGAAAAAACTATTTTAAATATCTATAAATATTCGCATTTTAATTGGAATATAAATTGCAAATGATCTTTGACCGGGCTATAAATAAAGCGAGATTACGTTTTATTGTGAATAAGATCTGTATCAGTTATTGAGGCAATCTACATCCAAGTTCGAATCCTTGTAGCTCGATAAGGTAGCGGCTACAGTGCGGCAGCGGGCGGGCGCGGACCGTGACAAATAACATTAGTCCATTGTCCGTTGCCTAACGATACGTTACGGAAAATGCACAGATTCAAAAGAACCGATATTCGAACCCATTTCGGTCATGGCCCGTGGAATGAAATGAAAGAGGTATTTTTTTTTTGTTCAAAATGTTTTGTTGATTATTCATTCTTTTTTTATACGAGGCAAACAAGCAAGTGGTTCATATAATAACCAAAAGATATATAATACATTCAGATAATCTTTTAGAGCTATAATTCTAATTAATTTTTAGTAAGCCTATTATTGCCGTCAAATTTATTAATATTAACTTTCAAAACTTTTTATTCGCTTGAATGATTTCTACACCAAGCAACATGTTAGGATCATCTTAAAAATTAAAAAAAAAAACCTTTATACTTTTATTACGAGTTATTAATTACAAGGCGAGGTATAAAGCAATTAACTTACTAAATTTTCATTTGTAAGATGGAGATATAGTATTTTAATTATCGAATACCGCGCCAGGCGTGCGGCGGGCTGCGGGCAGGGCCGCGCGTGTCGGCAGCGCAATCTATCGGTGGCATCTATTCAATTAGCGTAGGAACAATGGAACCGCCTTAAACATTTCTTCGCCGCTCGCCCGTGACTTGACATCCCGGCCATACTTTTAAACAATAGCATTTATGACGAAGATAAAGTAATTCACATGTACACAGATAGGAAATATTTTAAGGGTAATCTCAAAGCTTAAAGTTAGCACGCTACAATGTATTAGTAAGTAAAAGAAAGTAACGCAATACTAAAAAATCTTGACTTTTCTGGATTCTAATTATTACGGGTACAAAAAAAGTTTTTAACAAAGTTGGAACCCGATTATCACATTACAAATCATTCGCTTTGTAATCTTTTCGCTATTATTGCAATTCAATAATAAAAAAAATCGCGGACCTGCTTCAAGTATAAAGTTTTGCGTGCCGTAAGCAATTCTTAATTGCAAATAAGATTATTCTGTCACCTTTCAAAGATAAAATAAATGAAAATATTCAACATTGCGTTGATAATCGGAAGACATAATTTGATTAATTATCAACTAATAACTACAGATATGTAATTAAAGTGCATACAGATATTGTAGTCATTAATTGAAAGTCAAGTTGACCTATTCGGTTAAAAAAAAATATTGCTTTAAAAAAGATCGAAAGTCACTAAAGGCATAGTCATGTTAGTGTCGCAAAAAATACAACAAACATTAACGAACGCAATGGGCTATCTTAGTAAAACTTAACAATTCAATTAAAGGTGAGATTAAGAAATTAAATGTAATAAGTGAAGCGCGATTAATAGTCGATGGAGGATTAACGATCAAAAGAAGTCAAGTAATTGCACATATCCAAACCGAAAATACTTAGCCGTTCAAACTTAATTACTGAACATTTTTAATAATGATTCTGCCATTAATGCTTACATTTATACGCCTTGAAAGTAAAACTTTTATAAATGAACTCAAAATTTGAACTTTTTTATAAAGTAATTTTATGACAGTTAAACAACTGTAACAAAGTAATCACTTTTAAACATTTCTCGAAAAAAAACAATGCTAAATATTTGGAAACAAGAGATCTCTATTGGCACTAGCAGATAGTCACCGAGGTAGTTGTAGAGGGTAAAATCCTTCATAATCGTGTTCCCCCTAGGAGCGAGGTGTTCTTGTTAAGATTTCTTTCCCGACACCAAAAAAAGGTAATTGAATACAAGAAAGAAGTACATTGTGTATACATTGTGAATAGCGTAGCTTTTAGCTCATTAAAATGACAGAGGCGCCGCGCCCGACTTAGTTAGCCGACAACGCGGGTCCACTTTCCATACGCATCCGTAATTGGCGGGCTAGTTCTGTATACGGTTATTCTCCAAAAACGCAAGCAAAAACTGTCGCAAGTTGCTCGCGAGCCTGCCCTTATGAGATGACAGCGCGCTCGCGTCGCGTCGCCAACAAAGAATGACACGAGAAATAATTACGCCCATTGATCGGTGCTCATTAAAATGAACCAATGGACGTCGGCGAAGGGATACAAAAGAAGGAGTGCGGGTAGCCGCAATTTGCCGCGGCGCCGCAGCCTGCCCTTTTCTTATTGATAATTCGAATGGACTACTGAATTCAATTAGATGACCCGTTACTTTTGAGAAAACATTTCATTTGATTATTGGACGAGAGGCGCCCTCTGTATTATTTGTTGAATAATAATTACACTTTGGTTTGCAAAAGTCGCAATTACTGAAGCAATGTTCTTTCGTAACTTTAAACATAAGGTGACTTTTGCGTTTATGTCTTTTGTAGGTGTAAAACGTTGATACGTAAAAAAATCATTAATCATAAAATCGACATTAATAACAATAACTTATATTAATAAAATAACTTAACCAAAAAGGTTGTATTTAAAAGCTACTTGTTTAAATATGACCACAACGATGGTATGCTTAGTGTACGTTCTAGGGGTGTGCGAATAAGTCAAGTTTATGGATTATATATTTCTAATCGATTAATAAAATTGGATACGTGGAACTCGCGCGCGCCTTTGCGATTAGACGCAATAACTTTCGCTCCGTAGTTTTTATTTAATATTCGTTACTTTTTAGTTACTTGTGAACAAAGTCTAGTGTGGGTTTTACAACGGACATGTACTATACATAGTGATATAATCAAAATACGTAAATAGTGCAGTATTCGTGAGCAATAAGTAAAAACATTTTTAGAGTTATTCGTTGTTTTGACAAACCGGGCGGGCGATAGTGCGGCCACTGCAAAGCGCTTGCATCTACCCTCACTGAACGCTATTATCCCACGTCTTTGATACGATCGCGATCTAGTCTATATATCGATATCAATACCGCATGGAATTTAATAATAAATTAACAATGGCGTCAATTAATAAATGCTACGGTTGCAAAACTGCTCTAAGGAATAAAGAATATTTAGTGTGCGCTGTCTGTGAGAATAAGTACGATATACTATGCGCTAATGTACCTGAGAAAAAATTTCAATATTTAGTTGACAAAAGAAATTGGAAATGTCTTGGCTGCCGAAACAAACAACCCAAACGCGATAATAGCATTACACCAGTTAGGTCGTCGATCGGTGCTGCCGCAGCAAGCAGTGCAAGCATTTGTGACGACTCAACAGAGTCATACGAGTCAGGTCAGAGTAGTAACGTTACCATCCGACCCAGTCAGCAACGGCGCGCGGCCCCGCCTGTCGAGGCTGCTGTTACTCTTGACGCCATTAGGGAAGTTATTAGACAGGAGATTATGCCGTCGGTTAAAGAAATGGTATCCGAAGAGTTAAAAGGTATCAGACTACAAATATCTGACTTTCATGAGGCTGTCGCATTTTTTAACAAACAGTACGAGGAAATTAAAACTGTTCTAAAGGATAAAGTTGCTACGTTGACTAAGTTACAACAAAATAATGAATCCATGCAATGTACTATTAAAGATTTGTCGTTTAGGTTGTGTTCCCTCGAACAGAGCATGCGTGAAAGCAACCTGGAGATTAATGGTATCCCAGAGCACAAGTCTGAAAATCTAGTTAATACGGTTTTGCAATTAGGCAATGTGATAGATCATCCTATCAATGAAGAGGATATTCTGAAAGCAACACGTGTTATGAAGTTTAACAAAGAGAGTGACAGACCTCGAAGCGTTATTGTTAAACTGAAGAGTCCACTATGTCGAGATTCTGTAATAGCAGCAGTTACAAAGTTTAATAAAAAGAACGCAAAAGACAAGTTAAGCTCACATCACTTGGGTATTAGCGGTGCTCGGGTACCTGTTTTCGTAGCAGAGCATCTTATACCAAGTAGTAAGACTTTACATGCTGCAGCAAGAAAGAAGTCGAAAGAATTGAATTACAAGTTCGTGTGGGTTCGTAACGGCCGAATTTACGTGCGTAAAGATGAGTCCTGCAAAGCAATACTGATTCGAGATATGGATAGCTTACATCTTATCACATAAATTGTCTATAGTTGCATTTAATGTTTTGGTGCATTTCTGATCAATTCGATAGTATTAATATTTACTACCAAAATGTTCGCGGAATGCGAACTAAAACCAACGAGATAAGAAAAAATATTTCGCTATCGAACTACGAAATAATTATATTTACAGAAACATGGCTAAATTCTAGCATCTCCAATAATGAATTAGTTGATATGAGATATAATATCTATCGACGAGACCGTTGCGAGACCAACAGCTCAAAAAAAGATGGAGGTGGCGTGCTCATTGCTGTTTCCAAGCAAATTTCATCAGTCCGAATGAAGAACTGGGAATGTGACTGCGAGGACTTATGGGTTTGTCTGAATTTGATTGTAGGCAGCAAGATGAAAAAGGTAGCTATATCAGCGGTCTACCTTCCCCCTCCTGCACAACATAGTGTTCTTAATAATTATCTTCATAGTGCGAACGATGTACTAAGTTCTGTAGAAGACATTATAGTTGTTGGCGATTTTAACTTAAACTTCTTAAAGTGGCGAAAGCACATTGATTTCTCATACATGATTCCCGACAATTATAACAACTCTCTAGGATACTGTTTTGTAGATTTTATGTCTGTAAATGAACTGTACCAATTTAATAATATTTCCAATGTAGATGATAGAATGTTAGACTTAATTATAAGCAATAATGCTAATCTAGAGGTTACTACACCTCTAGATGTTTTAACTAAGATAGATCCCAAGCACCCTAATTTGTTAATAAAAGTCGATTTTCCTCCTCTTAGCAAACCTCTACAACCGAGAAATATCAACATTTTCAATTTCTTTAAAGCTAACTATAATGACATTATTGCTGATTTGACGGAAGTCGACTGGATGGAGTTGTTTTCTAAATGTAGCGATGTGAATGCGATGGTTTCCGTATTTTATAATGTAATACGCAAAATAATTGATACACGAGTGCCCAAACGATTAAAAAATTTTAAGTCTAAGTTTCCTTCGTGGTTTAGCAATGCTTTGATCAATCGTCTAGCCGAAAAAGAAAAACTAAGAATAAAGTTTCGCAAGTACAGAAACCCTCGTGATCTCATCGAATACAAAATCCTTCGTAGTTACTGTCACAAACTGTACGATGAATGTTATGCTCGTTACATAAAAACCGTGGAAACTAATTTAATTAAAAATACTAAGGTGTTTTGGTCATTCATTAAAAATAAAAGGAAAAACGAATCCAACTACCCTCCTGAGATGTGTGGAGCAAATAGCTCAGCCAGCACCAGTCCTGATATCGCTAATCTTTTTGCAAGCCAATTTTCTTCAATTTATAAATGTGCTAATAGTGACCCAGTTACCTTTGACTATCCTGAAAATTTATGTGAAACTAATAATTTATCCTTTATTTATCTCTCCGAATTAGATGTTTTTCAAAAAATTAAAAAGCTAGATACTACAAAAGGTGCTGGCCCCGATGGAATTCCTCCGCTATTTATAAAGCTGTGTGGTAAGGAATTATCCTTGCCATTGACTCTAATTTTTAATAAATCCCTAAGCGATGGAAGCTTTCCAGATGAATGGAAAATTGCAAGAATCATTCCACTTCACAAGAAGGGCGACCAAAGCGACGTCAGAAATTATCGTCCCATAGCTATCTTGTCGTGCTTTTCCAAACTTTTTGAATCCTTAATCTTTCCTATTCTATCTACACATGTTAGCAACGATTTGTCACCTAGTCAACACGGATTTAGAAGAGGTTTGTCGACAGTCACAAATTTAACACTGTACGTTTCTGATATTTCTGGTGATTTAGATAAGGGACGTGAAGTTGATGCTGTCTATATGGATTTTTCTAATGCTTTTGACAGAGTTAACCACACTTTACTGATTAAAAAATTAGAAAACATGGGCATACATGGGTCCCTTTTACATTGGTTTGAATCATATTTGGCAAAAAGACTTCTTTTCGTTTCAGTTAATGGCTCCGATTCTCGCCCATTTGTTGCTAGTTCTGGAGTACCCCAAGGTTCCCATCTAGGCCCAATTCTGTTTTTAATTTTCATTAATGATATTACTACCGAAATAAAAAATTGCAAGTTCTTACTATTCGCCGATGACCTAAAAATTTATAGAACAATAAACTCCTTGCTAGATATAAAACATATTCAGGACGATCTCAACAATATTGAAAAATGGTCTCTGGCAAATCTAATGTTAATTAACCCAAAAAAATGCTTTCAAATCAAATTTACGAAAAAGAAAAATCCTACCTTATCCATATATTCAATTAACGGTACAACACTTACAAAGGTCAACAGAATTAACGACTTAGGTATATTAATCGATGCGAGGTTGAATTTTGTCGATCACATTGACACCATGGTTACGAAGGCAGCCAAAATGTTGGGCTTCTTACGGCGTAACACTAAATGCTTTCGTACCGTCCACAGTAAAATGGTTTTGTATAATGTGCTGGTGCGTAGTATACTTGAGTACGGTTCTGTCGTGTGGAATCCCTTATACTGTATCCACTCACAGCGCATCGAAAGCATTCAACGGACATTTACAAGACAACTGGCGTTCACCTGCCACGGAATCTCGCCTCGCAGCACCTATGATGCGAGGTTACTTCATTTCAAGATGAAATCCTTGCAAAGTCGCCGTAAGATGAGTGACCTCACACTCTTATATAAAGTGATACATAATTTTATCAGCTGCAGCGATATCACTCAACAAATTTCTATTTCTGTCCCCAGAGTAAGCCCTAGAAACCCCATAAAAAATATATTTCACACTAAATTTGCCAGGACTAATCTTGGCCGCAATAACCCATTGTTGCGTATATGTAACGAATATAACATGATTAACAACTTGAACATAGATATATTTAGTGATAGCTTGGGATCTTTTAAAAATAAACTATCCAAATTATAAAAAAGAAAGTGTATAAAATTGTATGAATAAAAATGTGTCTAACGAAATTTGTGCATGCCTGTTATTGGCATACATATGTAAAATGTTTGTGTGATTTTTGTTTTTCTGCTATTTTTATATGTATGCTGTTGGCCTGTCTTAATAAATAAATAAAAATAAAAATACGAAACTCGAATGGAACAATTGGAAAAAAATCGAATAATTAAAAAAATCAAATTATAATTATAGTATTTAAACACTAAAATTGCTATTCGAAAGATATTTCCACACCCCTAGAACTACGTTCATTGCTCATCTGTCACTCAGGGGCCACAAATTGGTCGTTACAAAACATGGCGACGTCTGAATAAGAGTCCACCTTAATGAGACTCCGATCCATCAGATGGCAGCACCAGTCTTTTTTACAGCCTCCCGACGACACTTCCTGTTTACTCTTAACCGTCGATCGTCACCACGAAATTGTAATTTTCTTCATTACAAAACGACTTACTGTCCAATTTTCAAGTTTTTTCTTGTACAAAATATTTTTTATATAATTATTTTAAGTAATAATCGAAAATCTTATTACCCTATAGTTATAAGCTGGATATATATAAACAGTTTTGATTGCGTCATTTTTATTGAATGAATGTCGCCTCGAGTGCCTTTATTGAGTTTTATCTTATTTTCATAGTACATTTAAACATATTAGAAATTCAGATATAACGGCTGCTGTATGGAGGAGTAGTATATACTGTGCCAACCTTACGTAGGGATAAGGGTTGATGATGATTTTAACAAATCGATTGCCTAATTATAAGATAGGCTTAAGATGACTGAATTGTATGATTGATGACATAATTTAGGAGGAACGACTGAACTGACGAATTAGTAGTCATTAAGAAGACAAAATCCTGTATTGCTGATAACTGCATTGTCTAGCAAGGATCTGTATACAAAATATTAATTATAACTTTTATTCCTCTGCTTTGCGACAGTTTCAATAAAAAAAAAACCGGACAGCTATATTGCTAATACCCGTATCTTCTACCTGAATACCAATTGAACAATCGTTCGCAATTAAAGATTCTCACCACCTCACTGAAACAGAAACCGATCACGTCCTTGTCGAATCCGATACAAAAACTGGTAGCGTTAGCTTAAGGCTTGCGGGTCCAGAGTGTCCGGTTTTTGTACGACCCGTATCAATGGGGTTGAATGAAGAGAAAGACAAAAAGTAACCGCGTGTCGCTATTAGTATGTGCAGCGGTGTCCCAATGTGAGCATTAATTTATTGGTAAATATTTTATTGAAACCACGCGGCCGGTTCGGAGCCGCAGCACGCGCGTACTTCCTGCGACCACGCTCAATGACGTACAAATACGCGATCGCAAAATGTATTGCCCGACAATTAATCTAAATTTATAATGCGTCGGCTTTTTCACTTTTAATTTTAGAACGTATTCCGAATCGCCGAACGGAAATCTCGTTTCGAATTTCGAATGTAATTTCTTTAGCGAGCTCATCATTAATTATTTATCTGTGACACAACAATTATTGATCTTATCCGTTCACAAAGAGAGAGACTAATTATGCTTCGATATATCAATACAAAGAGCATGTAAGACCGGTATGAACATATTTTATTGCTATTAAATATTTCGTTTTTGTTCATAGGACTTGGTTCGACGAATGCCTGTTGTTTTATTTTCGAACAAGTTGTATTGAATACCGTATCGAATAGTTTATTTTATATACCTATTTTTATAACCTAGGGTAATTAAACTTGGACATCAACTTATTTATTAGTATGTATTTATGAAATAAAAAGTTTTATTTGCATAAATAAAAGAAGGCAAAATAACATTGGTACAATCTGAATTATTTAAACCACATAACAAATTGAAAAATTTTGTAATTTTAATGTGGTATTAATTAAAACGACCCGCAAAACATTCGCAAACTGAGCACCAAATGCTGAGAGACCTTAACATGTCTAAATACGATTGATTTCCACTGCCGAAACACATACATATGCAACATAACAAATAATCTTTGTTTTTTATGAACGAGAATGTTATCTATTTAGATACATACATTTTATTTTTA